CTCCTAAAACAAGGTTTTAAAAACTGTGGGGTGTGCCTCCCCTAGGGGAGGTCTTGACAGAGGGTGCGAGGTGGATCAGGAAGTGGGGAAATTTATGTAAGGCTTACGTTCACACTGCAGGATTAGATTGGATTAGATTATTGTGCATGCTGTATCAAAATGTGACCTTCTTTAGTAGACTTTAGTATGTACAGTTAACAGTTCAGAGGAGAAGAAGAAGTGAGGTCACACGCAGCATGCTTTGATTGAAGAACACRTGCTATGTGTKTTAGCGTGTGTGATTCTGAARTTCTTGTAYATTCAGGAACAATTAAATTATTATCAGTTGTGTATTTGGCCTCTGAGAGCACGCATACACTCATAAATTTTATAAAACCCTGCCCTAGAATACACCTTGGCCCCCCYGTGCCAACCCCTGACAAAAAGTCTAGCTCCGCCCCTGGATAAATGCCAARGACACATGTTATAAACTCAGAAACTGAACAAACTTTGTAAAACAGATTTGCTCTCTCAGCACTGAGATACTGCTAAGACAACAGGTTTCCATCTACCCTCGTTCTGTCCTCTATACTGCAGATGTTCAGCTGCATTGGGATGTTGAAGCTGTGCAGGAAGTTTCCTCCAAACACTATGGAGTCGACAGGAGTGTAGACAGCATGAATCCAACCTGAGGAGTCCACAGAAATCAGCATCATGCTTGAATCTTGTCACTGAATTGTGTTCGGACACCATGAGTGTCAGGAGTACCTGATGGGATGATGAAGGTGCAGCCCTGTTTTAGTTCAATCCTCTGACAGTCAGACGCTCGATCTCCAAGGAAAACATCTCCCTGTTTCCCTGACAGGACCCAGCTCTCATACAGCTCCAGGTTCGAATGGGTTGGAGGGATGAGCCAGAACACCTGAAACACACACCTGCTGTTCACCACCACACCAAAAACATTTGTAACTGTTACGCTAGTGACAAAAAAAAGCAGAACATTCTGCATGAATTCAGGAAGTATTTCATTCTTATCACAGTTTTGTTAGTGTCGTAGCCTCATGTTACAAGGCAGAAATCCTGGGGATGTTTTTTGTAAAAATAAAAATTGTAAAAATKGATTTTTCATTTTAAACTGATAATGTAAGCCCATTTGTYGTGTACCCAAAGAGCTTCRTCTTCATTTTACAACTCTTGCACACAGTGAAGCTCATGTTAAACTCAAACTTATTTGGTAAAAAACTAAATCTTTTCAATGCAGACAGGGACGGTTGAATCTCTCTTTTGTTCATTTCTGTAGTTTCCACTTAGTTNTCACGTGACGTTCAGCTGTTTCCGATTTCCTGCCTCGTCCCGGATGTTAGCCCTGCGTAGTTCACGTGCCTTTCTGCTGCGTAGTTTAACATTGCGTTTATTTCCCTACGTCTCCTGGGAGCGTTAAACATAGCCTGTACTAGCTGAATAGGTAGAATAATTACAACCTGCCCAATAGCAAGGCATTCACGAAAAAAATCGCTCCATTGTCCCGAGATGATTAGCCTCTGCTAGTTAGCAAGTTTCACTTTCTGTTTACTACCGCAAAGCTTGTCGCCAACGTCTGACTAATCACGCGTTGCGTAGCCTCATCTGACGTAATCACGCGTTGCGTAGCCTCATCTGACGTAATCACGCGTTGCGTATCCTCATCTGACGTAATCACGCGTTGCGTAGCCTCGTCTGACATAATCAGGCATTGCGTAGCCTCATCTGACGTAACCACGCATCGCGTAGCCTCGTCTGATGTAATCACGTGTCGCGTAGGCTCGTCTGATGTAATCACACATTGCGTAGCCTCGTCTGACGTAATCACGCGTTGCGTAGCCTCGTCTGACGTAATCACACATTGCGTAGCCTCGTCTGACGTAATCACGCGTTTCTTAGCCTCGTCTGATGTAATCACGCGTTTCTTAGCCTCGTCTGACGTAATCATGCGTTGCGTAGCCTCGTCTGACGTAGTCACATGTTGCGTAGCCTCGTCTGACGTAATCATGCGTTGCGTAGCCTCGTCTGACGTAACCACGCGTCGCGTAGCCTCGTCTGATGTAATCACGTGTCGCGTAGGCTCGTCTGATGTAATCACACGTTGCGTAGCCTCGTCTGACGTAATCACGCGTTTCTTAGCCTCGTCTGACGTAATCATGCGTTGCGTAGCCTCATCTGACGTAATCATGCGTTGCGTAGCCTCGCTATCGCGTCCCGTGTGTCGGGTTTCAGTCTGGCTGCGATGACAGCCTTTAATCCCTGTAGTTTGTCGCTCCCCGTGTGTCGAGCCCTTAAGAAGCTAACCGGAAATCACGTGTGCTGTAAACAACCCTACTGAGAGGAGAAATTCACCGAGCCGAACGAGACGACTGTAAATGAGAGCTGCTGCTTTGTCAGACAAATTTAATTTAATTTGAAGCCTTATCAACACAGACTGGCTTCATTCACTTC